ACACTGGACCACTTAACCCTGGACCACTTAACCCTGGGTCCACACTGGACCACTTAACCCTGGGTCCACACTGGACCACTTAACCCTGGTCCACACTGGACCACTTAACCCTGGTCCACACTGGACCACTTAACCCTGGGTCCACACTGGACCACTTAACCCTGGTCCACACTGGACCACTTAACCCTGGGTCCACACTGGACCACTTAACCCTGGGTCCACACTGGACCACATCCTGGACCCAGTTCTGAGTCTCTGACAGTGTTCAGGAGTCAGATTCTGCATGTCAGGTGTTTCTCCTGGTGGTTTGAAAGCGTTCAGCCATGTTTGTTTCCACTGAGCTGAAGTCCAGTTTGGGAGCAGGAAAGGTCCAGTAGAACCAGAACCAGATGGGTCTAATTGCTGTCCTGGTTTAACAGGAACAACACAAGCAGCTGATGACATCACGGCGTGGAGATGTTATTAACGCAGCGGCGCGGCTCCATAAAGCCGATGGGAGCGGCGTGTTGGCGATGTCAGAACCAACAAATGGGCTGAAGGCCCGGCTCAGGGTGTAACTCACAGCTGGGAGGTCCTTTTAAACCCTTTAATGACAATTAATGTCAACAGGACAATTAGTGCACATCCACTGAAGTGCTCAGCTGCAGATGGGCTGCGGGCGGCGGATCGATCGGCCGTACTTATCTGCAGATTGATTCAGACACCAGAGCTGCTGCCTGACAGGATCTGCTTCAGCTTCTCCTCCGTCCTGCAGGGAACCAGTCAGAGMAACACCTGAACATCTCCTGTCTTCTTCTCTGCTCTCCTCTCATCTTCTATGTTGAGTTCTTCAGAACTCAGCTTCCAGGTGGTAAATTCCTGACATGTTTGTACACCAGGATCAGTAACCACAGCCCCCCCACCCGGACCAGGCAGCCCCATTAATTGTGTCTGACAGAGGGAATTGGTTTCAATTGACCCCCATTCAGAGGGTCTTTGACTGGCAAACAAAAGGCACAGCCACGTGGAGACTAATGCTGGCTGTGAGCAGCCTGGAGGTGGTCCAGAGCCCGCGGCCCACTCCTTCCTCTCCCATGGGTCTTATCAGGCTCCAGCTTGATCACGATCTGCACCGGTGCCTGTAGAACCAGGACCGACAAAAGGAGGTCTTCCTGAGCCTGAGGTGGATCTCACAGCTTCTTTCAGCTGTTTTAACAGCAAGAATAAAGAGAAAAACTCAAACTGACTGTAGATTTATTCTGACTGGTTCTGATCCAGACCCGCTTCTTATGAGTCTGTGGTTCAGGTGTCCACTGAGGGTGGCAGGTGTACTTCCTGTTTAACACACTGCACCTGTTTAAAATGTTGGGTTGTCTTTTTTAAAGCAAAACAAACTGTTTCTGAAATCAGCAAAACAGATATTAGAGCTGAAATCAGCTGAACTTTAGCTGAAATCATCCAAACTAAAGCTAAAATCAACAAAACTGTAGCTAAAATCAACAAAACTGTAGTTAAAATCAACAAAACTGTAGTTAAAATCAACAAAACTGTAGTTAAAATCAACAAAACTAGTTAAAATCAACAAAACTGTAGCTGAAATCAGCTGAACTGTAACTGAAATCAGCTGAAATGTAGCTAAAATCTGCTGAAATGTAGCTAAAATCAACAAAACTGTAGCTAAAATCAACAAAACTGTAGTTAAAATCAACAAAACTGTAGTTAAAATCAACAAAACTGTAGCTAAAATCAACAAAACTGTAGCTAAAATCAACAAAACTGTAGTTAAAATC